GAGCTGCTTGAGCTCGTCCCAAAGTTCTTAGCTTTACAAGAGTAAGAAGGTCTGTCCCCACATCCCTGGAGTATGAGGTCGGCAGGGTTTGAGGATGGTGCGGTGGGTTTTGGTTGTTTATAGCGATTAACAGAAAACTGAGGAGAAATCTCTTGTTCTATCTGGACATTTTGTATCTACTAAAATGATCTTTTTCAGTGAGTTTCTCTTGTGGCTGGAACTTAACGCTCACAAGATGTTTTTGGAGGCTGACTGTCAATTCCTCCAGGATTCAAAGCTGATTAACATGATTTCCGAAGAAAATCACATTTTAGTAGAGTAACTCATAATAGTTTCTCTTGCTGCATTTAATAAGCAATGCTTTAAAACGCCTCTGCGGGGGGCGAGGGCACAACTCAGCGGCAGAGCGCGTGCTTAGCATGTGCAAGGCCCTGGGTTCAACCCTCAGTCCTGCCATTAAGAGAAAAACGTCTCTGTGACCTTGGGAGCCCGCAGAATGCCCGCGATATGGGAACTACAGTTTTTATTTTCTTTCTACTTTATTTCGGGAGAACCACTGAGCCCCTATGATAGTGTTTTGTGACAACGCCTTTTCCTTGGTAGCCACCCGGAAGTCCTGCACTGCAAATACTAATTGACCTCACTCTTATTTGGAAACGTGGTGGTTCTCGGGCAAGAGGTGGACAGTTCTTGACTTCACAGTTCTAGGGGTGCTCACAGCGCTCTAGGAATTCAAGAACTCCCAGGGCACTCAGGAACGGCCTCTTCCTCTCACATTCCTGTGGCCTCTCTGCTCCCCAGATAGGCCCTCCTACTGACTGCAGTGGCGAATCATTTGGATTTGAGATGTTGACACTACTTGAAACAGCAGAAAATGGAGCGATGATCTCAGAATTCTGGAGCCAGGAGTCAATGGATTTGCAGATTCCTAAAGCTCAGTCCTGTTTCCCACGTATATTTGGACAGAAACAACAGGAACAAAAACCCAAATCAGATGCCTGTTATGTGCTTTGCAATTTGTTTATTTAAATGGAGCTCTGCACATGTACTGAGACTGTTAGGCACTGGGGACGCAGAGAAGAGTGCAGCGTGGCCCCTGCCCCTGAAGGGGTTTTGTAAGTGGTTCCGACTTCAGCGGGCACCCCAGTCACCTGGCAGGCTGGGGCCTCGGAGGCCTGGGCCCCCCATCAGACCTTCCGACTCTGTAGATCCAGGCTGGGGCCTTAGAACTGGCACTTTTAACGAGTCCCTAGGTGAGCTGATGCTGCTGATCCGGGGCTGACGCTCCAGGGCCACGGCGTAGTGGACACGACAGGCGGGCACAAATGCGGTGTGGGCGCTGAGCCTGGGGGCAAGTGCCCCAGGCGGGAGGTCCCTGGGAGCACCAGGGAGGGACGACTCGCCCGGCCCCGCTGGTTCAGGTCAGGAGGGCTTCCCTGGTGAGGCGCTCCAGCGCTCTCCTGAGGGATGAGCCAGAGGTAACCAGTCTAAGAGGGAAGTGGGGCTCAAGACGGAGGTAGCTGGGTGAAGCTGGGGGCGGTACGGGAAGCCAGCACACGTGCAGAGCTGCTCCGAGTGCAGGTGAGGAGGTGGGAGAGGGCAGGGGTAGGGGGCAGGCACGGGGGCTGGCTGTCCCGCAGGTTCCCAAGGCAGCAGGACTCTAACCTGAGACAGAGTCTCGGGCCGGCTACCCCGGTCCCTGGGCTGCGGCTGCCTGAGCGTGAGGGGCAGCTCTGGGTGGGCCTCCGTGGCTTTGGCTCTTTGGAGGCAGGCAAGGGGTACTCTTTGACACCTTAGAACTTCTTACTGTAGGTAGATTCACACACTCAAGGGGCAGCCACACGTCAGAGCCCCAGGTAGAAAACCCTTTTCCAAGAAAATTCCAACTAAGTAGTTTCTCATACACATGAAGCGCTGAGTCCTTTGTTCCTGGGGTGTCACTGTTTCTTTATTCAGCTGTAAAGAGGCAGGGGAAGCCATCACTTCCCTTTTCCAGTACTTTTTTTCCCCCCGAAAATATGAGTTCTCTTCCTCTCTAGTTTCTTTTTTTTTGTCTCAACTAATTGCTTCTGATTTTTTCCTATGTAATTAAACTAATCACAGAAGCACGCAGAAAACGTCTTCAGCTTTTGTAAGCACCCTGGCTGGTGGACTGGTGGTTGTTGAAATAGATCTGTGGCTTCTCTTCTTTGACTTTGTTGTGGAACCTGCCTTAATTATATGCCTTTCTTTTGCCTTTAAATTGGGTACAAGTCAAGGAGGGTATAGCTTAGGGGTAGAGCGTGTGCTTAGCATGCACAAGGTCTTGGGTTCAATCCCCAGCACCTCCATTAAAAAAATAAATAGGTAAATAAACCTGATTACCTCCCCCCGAAAAAATTTTTTAAGAAGGAAAAAAAAAAGTTGGATGCAAACTTCCGATGTGCAGGGGCTCTAGAATTTAATTCTCACCAACCTCTCTGAGGTTGAGCCCGATTCCACAGACTTCCCCTCCCACTTTGATAAGCAAATCAAAGCACTAACAGGACAACTTTTAGCAAACATGCCTCTTTCCTAATAAAAATTAAACTACAGGCTCCTGCCAGGGCCACGCTCCTAGCTTGTAAGGTCCAGGAGTGTTTCACAAGTCTTGATTTCTAAGAGAATAGGAACATGGGTTGGAATAGGACGCGGGGAACTTCGTGGCCTTTCTGAGTTTCACGATTGCTGGTGCACCGGGAACGGCCCACATGTCTCCACCAGCCTTGCTCTCACACGCAGGGTCCCCATCCGGCTACGCCCCAGGCTGACGCTTACAGGTGCCCGCTTCACACCAGGTGCTCGCACGTCCTTCCTTGCTCATTGCATCGCCCCTGCGAGGCCGGTGGTGGCGTCTCCCATGTAATCGTGAGGACGCTGGAGCTCAGAGAGGTGGAGAGCGCAGGGTTCCGGAGCCGGTGTGCGTGCGTGCGGCTCGGGTCTGGGCCCGGGCCTGCCTGGCGTGAAACCCGTGTTCTCCCTGGCCATGTGCCTGTGATGCTAAAGGCCCTGTAAGCCTCTGGCATCCGTGGGCTCAGGTTCTGCAGACTGGCACCTGTTTCCTTGGCCTGGGGTCTTTGTCCACTAGAATCTGTTTCCCAAGATGGCCTCTGACTTTGGCCGTGACTTCCTGGCAGTTTCCTGAGGCCACACCAATCTCTGTGCCACGTGCTGTGTTTCCGGGGGTCCTTCTAGATGCACTGTTCCTGCATGAATTTACTGTCGCCACTTCCTCAGGCCATGGCCTTCAACCCTGGCTGCTTGGTTTCGAGTCCTGGTTCTAACACTCGCTGGTTGTGCGACCATCATCTGTTTCTCTTTGAGCCTTGGTTTCCCCCGTTGTAAAACAGAGGAAATTTACATGTGTTGACGCAACTGATGCTCACAATCACCCCATGAAGCTGTTGACCTCATTATATCGATGGGAAAAGGGGCGCAAGAGTTTACCAGAATTGCTCAGGTGACACGAGCCGGGAAGGGGTCCCGCAGGGGGATCTGGAGCCAGGTGTCCAGGCAGGCTCCCAGCTGTGCTCTCAGCCTCTCCCGCTGCTGGGCACGGCGGTGGGGACCAGTGATCAGGTGTTTCTGAGTGGATGAGTAATTGTGAGAAAATGAGACCTTGATAATGGTTTGGAACTCATTCTTTTTCCTCCTGCTCTTTTTTTCCCCTTATTTATTCAGCATCATTGCAAAAAGGCAGTGTTACCATTTGTCTGTGTTGGAAGATTTCCCTTTTATTCTTATCACAGAAAATAATTTCTCTGCCATGAGCTCCGTGGCGCAGTGTAATTGTTTCTTCAGATGCTGGACCACCTTCACTGCCCTTTGTGTTTTCTTGTCTTTCATGCCTCTGTCCTTGTCCCGGTGTCCTAGGTGGCAGTGGGAGACATCGTGAAGGTCATCAACGGGCAGTATCTTCCAGCAGACATGGTCCTGTTCTCCACCAGGTTAGGTGTGCTCGTGGGCATGGTTTTTGGCATTGATGGTGAGAACAATGGGATGTTCTCTGGTGCTTGATGCCAACGTTCAGGGTCATCCGGGCCCACTGGGGTGTCCTGTGTTCCCATCACCTCCCATGCCCATCCCCTTGCTCTCACCCTCCGTGACCTCTGTCGCCTTGAGATCAGGCTGCCGTCACATGGGGCGTGTGCAGGCGGATCGCTGGGCAGAGGGCTTTGTACTGGTGCCCTGCCCCACGTGGGAGTGTCTGTCTGTCTTTCTAGTCAGTTGCCCCTCCTGTGGGGTCGTTTCTGACCAACCATCAGACAGGGTTTCTGTAGTTGTGGCTTTCTGTAGTTGTGGCTTTCTGAGCTGTGAATTGGTGGAGGGGACCTCACTGAACTTGGCTGTGTTTTTTTTCTCTCTCTCCTTAGTGAACCTCAGGCGATGTGTTATGTTGAAACAGCCAATCTCGATGGGGAGACGAACCTGAAAATACGGCAGGTAAAGTCACCTTTTGTGACCTGCGTGGTTACAGAACCCAAATGGCAAAGGTGCTCCCTGAAGGTACCAGTCGGTGCTTTTTCTAGAGGAAAAAATGTTCTGCCACAGAAGGTTATGCCTTAACCCTGATGGAATCTATGGGAGGAGCAAGACTTTTTTATGCAGGTTGTTCCTTGAGAGTGAAGGCAGAGCCAGGAAAAGTGTGGGTCGCCAGGGAGCCTAGGCTGTGACTGACATCTTACTGAGCTCTCTGCCTGTTAGTGAGGATGGGAAGGGGTCTCAGCGAGGTCCAGCTGCATGCTGGCAGCGGCTGTGGACAAGCTCTGGGCATCTCCCTTTACATCGTGGTTTTCATGGAGATTCTAATTCTAGAGAGCAGAATTTTATGTACAAAATTTCCATGCCCTTATGTGGAGGGAACTCTAATTCAAAAGGATACTTGCACCCTAGTGTTCACAGCAGCACTAGTTACAATAGCCAAGACATGGGACGAACCTGAATGTCGACTGACACATGACTGGATAAAGAAGTCGTGGTATATTTATGCAATGGAATACTACTCAGCCATAAAAAGAATAAAATAATGCCATTCGTAGCAACATGGATGGACCTGGGGATTGTCAATCTAAGTGAAGTAAACCAGAAGGAGAAAGACAGATACCATATGATATCACTCATGTGGAATCTGAAAAAATAAAAAAGAAGACAAATAAACTTATCTACAAAACAGAAACAGACTCACAGACATAGTGAACACCTTGTGGTTTCCTGTGGGGAGAGGATGGGAAGGGATAAACTGGGAGTTCGAGATTTGCAAATATTAACTACTATATATAAAATAGATAAACAAGTTTCTTCTGTATAGCACAGGGAACTTATTCAATATCTTGTAGTGACCTATAATGAAAAAGAATATGAAAAGGAATACATGTATGTTCCTATATGACTGAAACAGGATGCTGTACACCAGAAATGGACACATTGTAAATTGACAATACTTCAATTAAAAAAAATTTTCCATGCTTTACAGAAAGCTGTTCTTACCAGAGATTTTAATTCTGGAATGAAGAATAGTCTTTAATATATAAGAATTTTAAGTTCAAGTTAATAATAATTCACTTTGACACTTAAATTTTCTGCTGCACTAAGTTGAATTTGATTCCATACACATGCCTCAGATATTTGATTTAGACATTTTTTTCTCCTTAGCGAAGAGTTACTGGGTGCTGGATTCACACTGTATTACAGGGGCACTTTATTCTGTGTTTGTGGCCAGTGCTAGAATGCAGCTAGTGGAGGATGCTTCCTGGAAGGTATCTAAGTGTGTTCATTGTGACTTTAGCCTGGATGTGTCCATGGAGTGATGGCGCCTCGACTTCTTGCTGCTTTGAATTCTTTCAAATCTTTTGCATCAGGCGGCTGTGGACAACGCTGCCTGTGAAGTCCAGCCTGCAGAGCTGATAGTTTGAGGACCACCTGCTCCCCCTAGTCATTCCATCTCAGTGGATTAATCATTTCCTTTTGATTAACAGTAAAGATGCTGACTGTGGTCCTTAACCCTGAAAGACGGTGTTCAGTTTCCTCTCTGGGTCGACCGTTTTAGGGTTTGAGTCACACGGCTGACATGCAGACCAGGGACGTGCTCATGAAGTTGTCTGGGACCATCGAGTGTGAAGGGCCCAACCGCCACCTCTATGACTTCACCGGAAACTTGAACTTGGATGGAAAAAGGTATCAATTTCCTTGTCATTTAGCGTTTTTTTTTTTAAATGTGACTGAGAAATACAGAAAAACATCAGTTTGTTTCCTGGTTTTATAATATTTTAAAACAGATTCCTTCCTGTTTAGCTTAGATATGGGAGTCTGAGCTTTTTCTGAAACATCATTTTAATCAATTTCAATCTTCCCCTTAAATTCAAGGAAAGACCTGATTTTTGGCAAAAAAATATCCCCAGGGCCTGAAATGAGGGTCACAGAACTGCTCTTTCTGTGTGCACTCCCTCAAGGGAGGAGAGTAGTGGTTTTCGCTGCATAAAATTGTCCAGAAAAGCAGAAGAGTGGTGTCTGAGGTGTAGAAAAGCTAACATATTTATTAGAGAAAATTCTTTTCTTTTTTCTTTTTTTTTTTGCTTTCTTCTCAGTAGTCTATGTTTTCAGAAAGTTGAATGAAAGGGACAATTTCTCTTCCTTTAGAATGTTCACTGCCCTGTTGTCTGTCCTGTTGTCTCTGTCCTCTCGGCGTTTGTTTGATTGTTTGAGTCATTTTCCGTCATTACGTTGGGTGGGGGCTCTCGCTTCTGCGCACCTGTAATCTGCCTCCTCCTTACCAGGGATTCCCACCTTCGTATTTTGAACAGACCCAGAGGGAAGGACTTTGATGGGAATCAACCCCAAATAACTCTGACAGCTCTCAGTGTGGCTGCTTTCTTGGTTTCACGAAGAATGCAGGGCAGTTCTGCAGGCTTCCGTTTTGATTTTCTCACTAAATTATCTTTGACAAATTTGATATTGTAGCTTTATTGCCTTTTTTCTTCCTTATAGTCTGTAAAATAAACTGAGTTTCCCAAATGAATACGCTTCTGGTTATTTTAGCAACTTCCTTTTGGGGTGTTGAGTTTCATAACAGTTGTACGAGACACAATCCCCTCTTAATGTTTTGGAGGAAAAAAACCCAACCTTTTTCTGTGGTGATGAGTGGCTGAGATAAACCTTTTTCTGTGGGTCTTTTTTGGGTCAGTTAAGCTAGTGGTGACCGTTATGGCCCCTGTTTCCCAGTGAAATAGTTCAAATTTGACTGAAGGAAGCATTTGATTTATTGTGGGTCTATGTTTAAGGGGGAAAGTCATGCTCATTTTCCAAACTCTCATTAAATATAAATGTTGTCTCTTGTTTTTAGCCCTGTTTCCCTTGGGCCCGACCAGATCTTACTAAGAGGCACACAACTTAGGAACACTCAGTGGGTCTTTGGCATAGTTGTTTACACTGGACACGACACCAAGCTCATGCAGGTAAAACATTTCTGTGCTGAAAACATTGCTGATTGCAGTCTTTTTTCTTTCTTTCTTTCTGTTTTTGTGGAGTAGAGGGTGGAAAACGTAGGCGTTACATTTAGAAGCTCAAGTTTTGTCTGTGAACCTGAATTTGGAAAGGAGGTGCCTTTACTTTAGTTCCTAGGTGGTTTCCCCTGGGTTTCTGTTTCATATCAGATATTTATTGCTCTTGCCTGAAATATCGACAGTCTTTGTCCGGATTCAGTGGGACAGTCAGTCCTCACCTACTTCATCTCCAAGCTCAAGGTGGGGTTTGTTCTAACATCCTTATTTCTCTCTTTACTGCTCCTCCTCACCCCATTAATTAGGATTTTATAGGAAATTGTCTTATTTAATTATTTATTGAATTCTAGACAATTTAAAATCAGTTATATTTGAACTAATGTTTTATTCATATCATATATCAAAGAGAAAAATGTGAACATGATTTTGTTCCTTCTCTCTGTTAATTTTTAAAAATTATGATTTGTGAATTTATAGCCTACATTTCTTTTGTGACGTATTTTGCCAGACAACTTCGAAATCCTGACAAGTCAGTGTCATTGCATGTCATTTCTTTCATGTCCTTGGTATTCCTCAGCATCCTAGATTGCTAATGGCTTCTATGAATGAGGGTTGGCCTTTCAGCTTGTTTGCCCCTTCGTGTAACTTCTAAAGCGCATATTTGATGATCTTCCGTAGTTTAAATGTGATGAGTGGCTGCCGTGCACCACGTCTAGTGCCGGCTGTGAGGATGCAGCAGTGGGAGCCTCAGTCTTGCCCCGGGGGGCAGGGTGGACTCAGCAGTGAGGGGGAATCACAAGGCGGAGAGAGAGTTGTTGCAGCGTGTGTCGTGACCGGTGCGGCGGGTGCATACACAGGGGGCAGTCGGCCCAGGTCGGGAGGTTTCCGTTGACCAGATCCTGATGTGAGGTTGGATAAGGGAGGCTGTTGTGTTGGTCCACTCTCTGAGGTCAAACGATGGAGGAGGAGAGAGATAAATCTTTGTTAGAACCGATGACGTGATGGACGCCAGGGTCCGCACCAGCTGGGGAGTGCAGTGGAGATGGGGGAGGAGGGACCAGAGGGCTGGGAAGCTTGTTGCACCTGCTGAGTGACAGGCCTCAGGGGCTTGGCTTTGAGCTCCTGGGTGGAGGGTTTGTAGAGTGGAGAGACCTGAGCGTGCAACCTGGGAGTCTGAAGTAGACCTGTTGGAGGCCATTGGCTGTTGAGGAGTGAAGGATGTGGACCGCAGCATTTGGTGAAGGTGGGACAGTGGCAGGGCCAGGTGGAGATGGATGCGATAAGCCAGTGACTCGCGTCTTCAGGGAGTGAGGGGCGGGGAGAAGGGCTGGTGGACTTGCTGGAGGAGGAGGCAGTGGGGGATGGGGAGGAGGCTGGTGGACTTGCTGGAGGAGGAGGCAGTCGGGGGTGGGGAGGAGGCTGGTGGACTTGCTGGAGGAGGAAGCAGTTGGGGGCGGGGAGGAGGCTGGTGGACTTGCTGGAGGAGGAGGAGGCAGAAGGTTGTGTAGCCAAATGACATGAATTTTACAAGCGGATTCTTTAACATGGCGTTAGAGGAATGAAGTGTCAGAAGTACTGGGTCTCAAATATCACTAAGGAATACTGTCCTCAGACCCTAAGGCGCGGGAGTCTGTGCAGGCGTCCTCTGTCGGGGGAACTTCAGGGAAAGGGTGTCCTCCGCTGGGTGAGGCCAGAGAAGGAAGGAGGGCAAGGACTCAGGGAAGCTCTGGTCCCAGGAATGGTCACAGAGGGGCACCCACGGCCGCTGAGGAAGATGAGTAGTTGGTGAGCGTGGAGAGGCAGCCCCGGGCGGCTGTGCCCCGTCTATGTCGCCCGCTAGCCCTTGCCCATTCACCAGCGCTGCACGCCGTGGGAGCGCTCCCCGGTTCTGAGCATCTGGAGTGAAGTCTTATCTCGATGAAGAGTGCAGTGCTCTGCCACCTCGTGGGTTTCCTCTCCCTGCCCCATCCAGTGCCAGCAGTCGCCGCCGGCGCTCGAGCCCCACCGACCCCAGATCCCTGCTGTTGTTATGATGAAGCAGCAGAGATCCCGAGGAGCTGGCTCAGATCTGGGAAGGGCCCCGAGACCAGTTTTCAGGTTGGGCGTCTTACAAATTTGACAGCTCTCCAAGATTCCTGGCAGCCTGGGTGTCTTCCCAGGGTGCGGTGCTATTTCTCTGGGTTGTACCTTGGTAATTCATCTTTGTAGCTAAGGTGTAAGAGATAATTAAGTTACACTTAAAAATTCCATCCTGGCTTGGAGGTCATAGTACTAAGTGAAGTAAGGCAGAAAGAGAAAGAAAAATACCATACGATATCACTTATATGTGGAATCTAAAAAGAAAAAATGACACAAATGAACTTACTTATAAAACAGAAACAGACACACAGACATAGAAAACAAACTTATGGTTGCCGGGGGTAAAGGGGATGGGGAGGGGTAGACTGGGGGTTCAAGATTTGCAGATATAAACTACTGTATATAAAGCAGATAAACAACAAAGTCCTACTGTGCAGCACAGGGAACTATATTCAGTATCTCATAATAACCTATAATGAAAAAGAATGTGGAAAGGAACATGCATATACTTATAACTGAACCACTGTACGGGACACCAGAAATTAACACAAGCCTGGAAACCGAGAGACCTCACTGAAAAGACAATCCCAGCCTCCCTGAGGGAGTGAGGTGCGCACCGATCACCTCGCGCAGTTTGCATCCCGTGGGTGTCCTGGCACCCTCCCTGCCCCTCCGACATGTGAAACACCGCTTTGCAAGGCTGATCGCATGTTGCCTGAGCTCGGAACAGCGGGGAGCCCCGCGCACCTGTGCCGGGCCGCCGGGCCTTCAGGGCTAAAACCGCAGTGAAAACACCGCGCTTTTAAGAGGAACGTGATGCAGCGCCCGTAGCCGGAAGCCGTCCTGGTTGTGAAATAACACCTCCGCCCGTGCTTGCGCTCCCTGACCGCGGAGACGAGGCGCACTTGCTTTAGGTTCGTCTTTGTTTTTCGTTTTTGTTTTTGAACTCTCACCTCAGTGCCTGCGGCCCGCCACAGCTCCCTCGTTTCACGCTGAGCGGAGCGCCACGTGGAAGTACTTCAGCTCCTGCTGTCACTGTGGGTCGATCGGAGGGAAGGAGGCGCATCGCGGCCGGCGCCCCGCACGCTGTTGCGGGAGACGCGCGCGTGTTAACTCGTTCCTTCTCACGGCGGCGGCCCGCGGGGCGGCGCTGCTACTGTTCCACTTCCTCGCTGAGGACATTGGGGCGCAGACCCAGGAGAGAGGGGGCTGGGATTCAAGCCCCGGCGGTCTGGCCCCCAGCCCACTTTCTAACTAGCCCTCTCCCAACTGCTTTTCTCGGACGGGAATAAAATGTGTAAGACGCAGGTCAGCTTTAAGTTTTTTCAAAAATCAGGCATTTGAGCCTGTTTCTGTTTAGAACTCTGTTTCTCAGAAGTCGTGGTGTTGTCTCAGGGTTTCGTAGAAACTCGGGGCAGGCAGGGATTTGACGTTACAAGCTCGTTGCTGCACGTCGAGGTGTCCGGGGCCGGGCAGGCAGGGCCCGGCTTTCCAAGGTGCACGGACTGCAGCCTGGAGTTTGGGTTGTTGCTGTCGTGTTGGATGAAATACAACCTTTTCTAACCCTGTGAACTGGTTCACCCCCTGGAAAATGTCAGAAGTCCATAAACTCGTGGAGTCATAGAAATAACATTTATTGTAAATTTTTTTTCTATCTGTGGCTCCAGTAAATGTTTATTAAAAGCGATAAGATCATCTTTAGTTTTTAAAAGGTTAGGGTAGGCAGACTTGAAACCAGTCTTCTGGCTCTTGCCATGAGGTCAGAGGTGAGGTGTCCTCATCGGCCCTGATTGATGACAAGCTGGCCTTTGCTGATGGATTTCCTTTGAGATTCTGGCGGAATATTTTTTAGAAGTCTATAAAGGGCAAATAATTTAGAGAACTAAAGTGAAAGGGAAAAAAAGAATAAAGACAAAGGAGATGCTGCCATGCCGTCTGGATACGTACAGGACCACAAAATTGCCGGTGTCACGACTCCCCGACTCCCCACCCTGCGGGAGGCCAAGGCCGTGGTGGCAGCAGCCCTGGGTTTGGTGACAGAATTCAGATGGCGGTTTCATTGGCCTTGTGGTGTGAGCGTCTCCATGGAACGTAGATGACCGTCTCTCCTGTTTGTCTCGGTTTTACTTCCACGTGGTGACTCTGTGTTACTTCCAGGGTCGTCTTCGCCCTGGCTCTGTTAGCATCAGGCAGACGGGGAACGGTGAGGGAGAGGGCTGGCTTAAGCTTGGCACAGGGCACCATTTTTCATGACCAGTCAGTGTCCTACAAATGTTCAAGTCACCTGATCTTGACGGTCAGCGTAGCCTGTAAAGGCACAGGGCTCCTGACTCAGACAGAGGCCTGTGGGCTGAAGCTCTACCGGGTCCCCCGTCCACTTTGTGGCTTCTGGTCCGGCCCAGGCCCTGCCCACCTCCAGGAAGAGATGTTACCATCTGCTGTCCCCTCCCAGCCATAACAGATGATGCCAACTCAAAACTATGTGAAGCTCCTGTGTCACAGTTCTGGAGGTCAGAAGTCTGACGTGGGTCTTCCCCACATCATGTGTCAGCCGGCAGCATCCCTTTCTAGAGCACTCTAGGAGGTTCCAGAGGCGAATCCGCTCCTTGCCTTTTCCCGCCTTCTAGAGGCCACCTGACCACCCTGGTTTGGGAGCCTCGTCCTCCATCCTCAGAGCCTCAGTGCTGCGTCTCTGTCCTCTGTCCTCAGAGCCTCGGTGCTGTGTCTGTGGCCACCCTCCAGTAGTCACGTCTCCCTCTGACCATTGCTAGGGAGGAGTCTCTCCTTCTCTGCTGTTAAGGACCTGTGTGGTTAAACTGAGCCTATTAGAGTAATTCAACTTAATCTCCCCAAGTGGACATCCTTAATTTAATCACCCCAGAAAAGTCCCTTTGCCATGTGAAGTAACACAGACACTTGGGTCCAGGCGTTAGGACATGGGCATCGCTGGGGAGGGGCATCATCCTGCTCACAACTACCTGCAGGCACTTTTTGATAAAGTGACTTCCCGTGAAAAGCCGTCCAGTGCAGGCAGCTCTGTTGACTTTTTCCGCTGCTGGGGGGATACAGCTCCACGCTTTCCCCCTGAGGTGCAGTGGTCCTTGAAGCTGGCTTGAGTGAGTCTTTCTGAACCAGTTCTCACCACTGACTTATCCTCTAGCTGGGCTGGCTTCCCTGCCGGCAGTGAGAAGGCAACCTGTGAGCATTTACGGGCGGTTAGGCTATCTTTCTGCTTTTGTTTTATCCTCCTGTCTACATTCTGTTTGTTTACGGTTTAGGACTCCGTTCAGATTTCTCCTGGCCACTAGGCTTTCCTTGCTTGTTTCCTATACACGGTTTTCCCAGTGAACTCTCTGTCCATCCATTTCTTTTGACACCTACCATTCTCTTTCACACTGATGTGTATGTGTTTGTGTGTGTCGTTTTTTCTCAATTAGATTTTGAGCTACTGGACTTAAAAATCTCTCTCTGTGTATTAATTGTAGAGCTATGTTGTTACTTTGAAGATGGTAGATTTCTGTGATCTTTAAGTTTCTCTAGAACTATCAACATCCTGATTTCTTTTAAACTGGACTTAAATGATTTAGAAACTGTAAGGTAGTGAAAGTAGCTAGTTTTATGTGAAAATGTAATCGTAAGAGATGCAAACTGAGTCGTGTAGGCTTGAAATATGCACTTTTAACATGATAGAGTGTGTCTTCTGTCTTTACTTAAAACTAGCTGTTGATTCAGGGACATAGTACGCTTTTAAATTTCATTAGTTATTTGGCAAAAAGGAATACAGTATTTTACTTTTGGTTTGTTGAATTTGGTTAGCTTACCTCCTTTTCTCCCTACTCTTGGCCCCCAAGTTTGTTCTGTGACCCTTACTGATTTTAAATGCTCTTGTGCAGAATTCCACCAAAGCACCTCTCAAGAGATCGAATGTTGAGAAGGTGACGAACGTGCAGATCCTGGTGCTGTTTGGCATCCTCTTGGTCATGGCCTTGGTGAGCTCCGTGGGAGCCCTGTACTGGAATGGGTCCCAAGGGGAAAAGAACTGGTACATCAAGAAGATGGGTAAGTGGCGGGACGGGTTGCCTGTTGAAGTGGATGGTCCTTCCAAGCATGGTTTGCGCATGGGGGCCACGCCACCCTCCCCTGCTCTCTGGCTGTTGTCCATCATTACCAGTCTTTCAGGACCTGGAAGGTGCGGAGTCATGTGGTGAAGGGAAGGTGGACACATTTGGGGATTGTTTTATACTCGAGTGATTATTTTTTAACTGTTAGGTTGTGAGTTTTGTTTTTTAGGCTTGTAGGGATTATCATGTACAGCTTAGTTGATCAGCATCAGATTACTTCAGATTAATGCTGATTTAATTCCAATAAAATGCAGAAACTGGGCTCCAGTGTAGATCCATGTCCTCCCCTGCTCTGTGTGATTGCTATGTTTATAACACCCATCTTTGTTATCAACCCAGTAATTCAGTGTCATGCTTACTCTCTTGC